AATAGTTTCAGGAAAGCATCCCTTATTTTGGGTATGGATCTGTGGAGGATAATTTTTGAATATTGCTTGTGCCTTTTTCTAAAGTTTTTAATTTTTTGGACGTGTTTGGAGCTAAGACAGTTAGGTCTACTACGGCGATATCCCAGCTTACAAACCGAACAACTCAGCCTCAATTGTGCCGACTGGGGAGCTGGCAGGGTGTCGCGGGAAGGGGTGGGGTGGGAGTTCAGGTGTCTAGGGAGATTGAGACAGACACCTCCATGTTTCTCATCATGGTTCTAATGGGCTTTTCGTCTATGGTTGTTGTTCATTTGTCATTTGTTAACGGTTCCACCCATTGCTCTGGGTGCGTGGTCTATGGCCCTGGTGCTATGGCCGGCACCGAGTATTATTATTATACCACCCCTAAAGATTTACTTGTTGTCTTTGTACCACATGCATATAGCTACAGTGTGCAATTCAAGCAAATTAGGGCTAATATGTAGCATTACTGGCCATGTGTTTTAATTGCCTCAGACTGTTTGTGTTCCTTTAATGAATTTTTCCAGCATAAGCAAACATGTAACTATATAAGTTTCATTCTGAGAGGACTTAAGTTAAAAAAGCACAAGGACCATTTTACAAGTTTTCATTTGCCTAACGGCTGTTCAGGTATCCTTGTTTGGGGTTTTTCGTCGCGTTGTTTTTTACATTATAATACTAATGATTAGTTCAATAGTTGTTTTCAAAGGTTTATCACTCTACTAACTCGTGGAACGGGATCGCTACACTAGCAGATAGAATCCAGGAGTCATTATAGGTATATATATTGTTCGAGCGACTTCTCGTGCCTCCAAGGTACACGCAGAGCAAGCGGATCAATTTGCGGCAAGCAAGATTATGCATATTGGCTTTTTCACTCGTTTTCACAGCATATTCTCGAACGCAGTGGTTTCATTTACAGGCTGTGTAGTTCTGAAGCCGTTGGTACCGCTTATAGGCCACCTGGTAGCCTGTAGGGCCGTTGACACAAACACAGACAGACCAAGTACTGTTGTAACCTTCGCGCCCATGCACGCGAGGGTTAATCAGTATGACATTGCACACCAGGTAGTGGAACCCTACCAGTGTACAAATTACTGTAACCTATATAAGAATTCTGAAAATGGAATGACTATAATATTATTTTCTGATTTTAAAACCATTCTAAGGGCAGAGAAGGATCTGTGAAAGTAAATTGAAATGTATAAACATAATGCTGAGGTACCCCTATAATTAGTGATACCTATGCACAACAGAGTGACCACCATAAATTATGTCATCATAGGTAAATGTTTCGATAAGGACAGCTTAAAGGAAAAACAGGAGTCGTTCCATAGCAAAGGCGTACAAAAGCTACATGACGCCATCCCTATACTTTGTTCCATTGATTCACATATATATATATAATAGCCGGTTATGTATCTTCCAAAAAGTTGTGTTGTCAATAGTGGGGGCTTGGAAAAAGGCTCTCTGTGTGTTCCTTTGTTTATTGAGTGGGGTTTGCAAGTCAAAAACTGTCTCGAGTGTTAGCTACTACAACTGGCGTGGGACATATGTAGGCAAATGGCAGTGTAGTGGTTGGTGCTGACTCTAAATGGCCCTCGAGCATTCATCGGTCATACCCACTTATGTCAGTACATCACATCAGCAAGAGCACTCATTGGCCAGACGGGGTTTGGTGTAGCGGACAAGGGATGCTTCAATAGTTAACAGACATCCTTTCCCGTTGTGGGTGGAGCAGCTGTGCACGAGATTAGCTAATTAAAATTAAAAATCCTGCGAATTTAAAGAAAGAGGCATAAGGGATGGTATAAAAAGAAAGGGAGACAAGATAGGGATGGGATACATGAAGCATGGTTAATGAACAGATTTGAGTACGCTGACACCCCCAACTCCATTGCACAATCCCTATATTGTTGCCTGTTGTGCTACACTTATAGGGAATGTGGCTAAAGGTTACTAAAAGCAAGCATTCTTTTACCGTCTCCCTGTTGTTTTTAGTAACATTTATACTGCCACATCCCCTTTAATTAAACTTCACTAAGGGTGTTGGTTACTCTTGTAATGGTGAATGTTTAATACTTCACCTAGGCAACAATATAGGGATTGTGTGATGGGGTTGGGGGTGTCAGCGTACTCAAATCTGTTCATTAACCATGCTTCATGTATCCCATCCCTATCTTGTCTCCCTTTCTTTTTATACCATCCCTATATGCCTCTTTTTTTAAATTCGCAGGATTTTTAATTTACTTGTCTCCACTCATTTTTATATACTACTACGTATTATCCCTGTGGAAGGGGGCAAGCCCATATAAAAATTAATAATAGAGAAAAAATGCCTGTTGTCGTCATGGAAATGATATGCATACCATGTTTCATCTCCATGTGTGCTGCCGTTAGCAAGTTTGAGGAGTGAAGAAGTAATTTTAAAGAAAAGTGCCTGAGGCTATTTGTTGTTGTGGTCGTCATGGAAACGATGTTACACACATGCGTACCAAGTTCCATCTCCATGCGTGGTACCGTTAGCGAGTTTGAGGAGTGAAGAAGAAATTTTAATGAAAAGTGCCTGAGGCTATTTGTTGTTTTGGTCGTCATGGAAACGATGCAATTAATACACATGCATACCAAGTTTCACCTCCATGCGTGCTGCAATTATATAGCAAGTTTGAGGAGTGAAGAAGTGGTTTTAAAGAAAATTGCCTGAGGCTTTTTCAAACAAAATGTGGTCGTCATGGAAACATGTAATCATCATGGAAATGATATAATAGGCATACTTATATACCAAGTTTCATCTCCATGTGGTGCTCACATTGGAGAGTTGAGGAGTGAGAGAGTAATTAAAAGAAAAGTGCCTGAGGCTACTTTGTTGTTGTTTACAAACATGTATTGTGTAATTTTATGTCGGTGATTGAATGCATGTGTCTACAAAAGTTCGTTCACATAGCCTCGTACCATTTTGTGAGTTATCTAACACATGTCATCCCATTAGTAATGTGTTGCCGTGCCTGGGGCTATTGTTGTGTTTACAGTAACCAATGTGTTTACACTAAGTAGGACAGTCTCTTCGGGTGACGATATCTACATTGTACAAAATTTCATTACTATAATTATGTTATTTCGTTTTGAGTTCGCGAGTTCAATCTGAATGAGAGAAGAGGACAAACTCCCTATGATAGCCCATACTACGATGCTAGGTGCCGAACACGATGCCTGCCCTCTCATAATTCTTCCTCAGTACTATATACCAATAATACCATATCACCATCCAATATCCACCTTTTTTTATTTGTCCACTTGTATAAAGTTGTTGCAGCTGAGAACTATAGTCATTAACAATCACCGTGCTACTCAACATACTCAAAGCCATTCCTATTATTTGTGCCGTCCATTCTAAGATGTTTTTGGGGTTTTGTTTTTTGTTTTTTTTTTGTTTGTTTTTTGTTTTGTGTTTTGGTTTTTTGTTTTTTTTTTTTTTTTTTTTTGGGTTTTTTTTGTTTTTTTTTTTTTTTTTTTTTGTTTGTTTTTTTTTTTTTTTTTTTTTTTTTTTTTTTTTTTTTTTTTTTTTTTTTTTTTTTTTTTTGTTTTTTTTTTTGTTGTTTTTTTTGGGTTTGTTTTTTTTTTTTTTTTTTTTTTTTGGGTGGTTTTGTTTTTTGGGTTTTTTTGTTGGTTTGTTTTTTTTTTTTTTTTTTTTTTTTTTTTGTTTTTTTTGTTCAATGCCACGATTTATCATACATCTGTAGATATTGACAGAGATGTCCACAACGCCAAAAAGCTTTTGAAGCACCTGATGAAAGATGAAGTAAAGCGATCTCGCTTCAGTGAACTCGAGCTCTTGTGATGCCACAAATGCCACGTCATACGATTACCTCAGCCAGCCTCAGCTGTATACACTGATGACTTGCTGCGGGCGGATATTAGGCAAGGATGGAGTGACTCCAGTCAGAGACATACCAAGGAGGAGCCACTTGGGAGAACCTGAGAAATGCCCTCGGGACAGTGAATACACATGGAATGCAAAGACTATTTGATACCACTAATGCACTCCAACACATTATTTAACTAACTAGGAGAGAGATGTAGGTTGTAGCTAGCCTAAAGTATGATAGTTGTTGCTGATGGCGTCTGTACTAGTTGTATATAGTGTATGAATGCTTGGTTTTTCTCATTGGCTTTTACACCTGAACCACTTTGACAACGACAAAAATATCAGCTTGCTACCAATATATCCTACTAATGCCATGTTGACTGGTAAGTATACATTTAAAGCTAGGAGTTAGCCTCACACCCCAAGCACCTGATGAAAGATGAAGTAAAGGATCTCTTCAGTGAACTCGGGCTCTTTGATGCCACCGTCCATAACGAATACTCAGCCAGCCTCAGTGTCTACACTGATGACTTGCTGCGGGCCTGGATATTAGGCAAGGATGGAGTACTCCAGTCAGAGACATACCAAGGAGGAGCCACTTGGGAGAACCTGAGAAATGCCCTCGGGACATTGAATCACCATGGAATTGCAAAGACTATTTGATACCACTAATGCACTCCAACACATTATTTAACTAACTAGGAGAGAGATGTAGGTTGTAGCTAGCCTAAAGTATGATAGTTGTTGCTGATGGCGTCTGTACTAGTTGTATATAGTGTATGAATGCTTGGTTTTTCTCATTGGCTTTTACACCTGAACACTTTGACAACACAAAAATATCAGCTTGCTTACACAATATATCCGTACTAATGCCATGTTGACTGGTAAGTATACATTTAAAGCTAGGAGTTAGCCTCACACCCCAAGCACTTTCCCCAAATTTAATGTTGATTGAACTTCATGTTATTATTGATGAACTTCATGCACGAATGAAACAGGGTATTATTAAAAGCACACACATGTGCACAAAGTTTAAGTCATTTGCAAAAATAAGCACACAGTGAAATATTTACATTATGATTGTGTGGATAAAACACTCATTCAATTCCAAAAGTGTTCCCTTCTTCAATGGCAGTTAGAAGTTTGTGATAGAGTACATCATAGGATGGATAGGGGGGTAGATCAATACGATTGAAGCATGTATGAGTCCTGAAAAAAGCATAGGAACATAAAATGGATGGGCTTATGGTGGCAAACTTAATTAATACTTGCACACAGGGAAAAGGTCACTTACAAATACTCAGAATAACTTCTGCATTGTGGTCTACATGTGTGTACATACACACAATAAATGTCACCATAAATGAAAAGCACTAAAGTGCAAACCCTTGGTGAACTGCGCATGCGCGGTACCACTAATTGATGGGCTGGGCTATTTGCAGTATATATGCGTTTACTCGTGGTCTCCCGCTAGTAGCTCACGGAGAGTCGGACAAGGGCTAGCTACAGTAGTAGATAGCATGCGGAAGTCGATACACACCCTTTGTTGTGACTTCATGATACACAGAGCATGTGGGTCGAGGTAAACCTGTGCTAATTAGCATATTGGCTTGTTCACTTGTTTCACGCCATAACTTTAGAACGCAGTACTTTCACGAAAATTGCCAGTTTAAAAGTCAAACCAGTGTAGCGCTGAACCCGCTGGTGTCGTCTTTTGGCCGGTTTGTTGCGCGTGGTGGCAGAAAACGTGGTAACAGACACACAGACCAAGTACTATAACCCTCTAGCACATGCGCGCCGAGGGTTAACAACTTATAATGCACCTCGGCAGGCTATTGACATCACTGAAGAAGTCAATGGTGAATCTCTTTGGTCCGTTGCTCCCTCTCAGAGCCTTGAATCCCTCAAATGGGACACTAGAAGTGCCCGTCACAAACTACATAGGTAAAGGATACATACACAATTGATGATGAGGCATAGGAAACTATGCAGATTTAGGATGACAAGCCCTAGCCCTAGGCCCTGGGAGGGTGTGGCATTCCAAACGCACAGCGAGGACACTACTGCACGGCAAAGGCCTAAATTGTGTTGTTTCCATGGCTCGTTGCCAACAACATGATATATTAAGAGTGCAGCTTGCGCAGAAACATGAAATAAATCTTCTATGAAAACCATCAAAATAAATTTTGTATGATTGTATGTGAGGTGTGCAAGAGGATGACTTTAGGAGGAGTACAAGCTACGTAAAATTAAGGACAATTCAGAACAAGAAAGCATTTGGGGCATAGGACAAAAGCATACAAGAGAAGAATTGAAGCATTGAACAAGGGTGAAGTTCTGTTCGTAACTAATACGAGGGGAAGTTAAAACATCATTATGAGCAGTAAGGTTCTGTTGACACTGCCTTTGATGACAGTTGGAAACAAGAGGTTGATGAGAAGGTGAGCGAGTGTTCAAGCTGTTTTGACAAAGGCGGGGGGGATTGTGGAGTTTGGTGAGAGAGATAAATGAGCTTTAAAACAACCATGATCTGGAGTGGTGGGTTTGGCAAGCGGAATTTGTACCACCCCAGTGGAGAGATTCAAGGGGAAAAGGAAGATCCTAATTTTTGTAAGGTTACAAACAGTTGATTGGTGCAGCATTTGGATAAGGTCAGGCTTTTCATGCGGTCTATAAGGTCAATAACATCTATACGCTTGTGCAGGGTAGACTAAAGGTGGGAAGTGTTATTTTTGGACATGAAGAAACAGTGTGGGGTAATGGTCTGTGGTTGAAGTTGTAGGAGCTTGGTGTGAAATGGAAGATGTGGAGGGTAATTAGTAAGATGTTGACACAAGAGTTTTCAAAGGTGCTGTGTTAATCTAGGAAAGATCAGTGGAACTCACAAACAGCTAGGGTGTAGCTCAGGGGTGCACCTTAGTGTGACATATTCATGAAAATTACAGACAAAAATTGCAGCAAAAATTACTCTCATAAATGCAGAATTTCTTGTTGAAAGTGAATGTTATTACCTTGACTCTATCAGAAGAAAGGGATATAGCCTGAGAGGGGAGCCAACTAGAAACTCTTAGTGAGGGGAGAGCATGTGTCTGTGCACAATATCTTTAGAAGGAGTACTTTCGTGTGGATGGGAAGTGTTGGGCCTTAACACAATGCATTTTGGCCAGCAAAGTGAGCAGTTCAATTTTTGCGCATTTCACATATAACATTACGGCATTAGCAGTGTCAGTCGTACGCATATTAACACATAGAACATTATGGTATATACAAGTGGAAAATCATTTCTTCAAAATAAAGGGGGAGATAGGGATGGATCAAAACATGAAAAAGGAAAGAACAAGGTGTCATTACACAGCTAAAACACACAAAGCTACACGACACCATCCCTACATCTTTGTATGATGGTATTTGCCTATTAATCATCTTTGTCTGATCGTATTTGTCTAGAACAAAGATATCATGCAGCTTTGTGTGTCTTCCCTGTATAATCACCCCATTGTTCTTTCCATTTTCATGTTGTGAGCCATCCCTATATCCTCCTTCATTTTGAAGAAATGACTTTTCCACTTGTTTCCATTATTTTTTAGCAGCTCTGATGCCCCAGCATTTAGTTATTACGGTCAATCTGATATGCATTGGGTTGACAATGAACTTGTTCACCACTGACTAGAGCAAGCACAATGCACATTAGAAGCCAGCTTTTGTAATAAGATGGAGTTGGGACACAGAAACACGAGCATAGTACACAAGCAGTTACTAGCAAGTCAAACGCATAGGCATTGTGAGTCATTCTCGGTGAGTTTTGAGGCGTTTTGTAGCGGATCACATGAGATTTGACCTTTGCCATCCCTATATATATATATTATACAGAAATCCTTTATTCAGCTGACAAGGCAGGCTCACTTCATTTGCCAATTGTGCATAAGCCCTGTGAATCAAATAGTTTTCCTCATTTGTATTCCTTTTTCTATAGCTTTTCCTCCTCAGGTGAATTGACGCTTACTCTAAGTACAAGGAAGGCATCAAAACAGTAGGCTGTGTTGAATTACATACAATAAAACCGGAAAGGATTGCGAGACTAAAATGGTACGATTTTGGTAAAATTGCTCATTTGCATAATGTGCGATATTTGATTATTAATTGTGCGGTTGATATGACAGATGTACCTGTAGTCTTTCAACTACTGCAGTCCCTTTGTACATACCTTGCTAACACACCACAGTAACAGCATTTCTAATCTCCTTGTTATTACACTTTGTCTACACCCTCAAACACCAGAAGTTTGGTTCAAGGAAGCTAAAGTAATGTGCAGCTAACTTCCACAAGAATGTGTACTATACCTAATTAATTAGTGTGCACCTAAAGTGTGTGATTGCAATATTATGACCTTGACCTTGCACTATTAAACTATAATAGTACATATACCTGGAGTAGCCTGAGTCTCTGTTCATTGTCAAACATTTCCACAGCCTGCCAGAAGAACAGAATCACGGGGTGGGTTGGATGGTAGCCTGTGGAATTATTGATAGTTGTATAGACACTGAGTAACACGAAAATAGTCCAAATGACATTCACAATTTCAATGAGACTGTAGTATATTCAATGTCGCTGACCATTTCTATACTCAGTGTGTTTCTTCCAGTCATCAATGTCAATCTCTAGGGTGCCAGCAGTGAGGAACTCCAGCTCACTAGCATCAAATGCCTGCAGCAGACTCACTGGCATCACCTACATACAGAAGGAAAACGAAACTATGTACGAGACATTGACAGGCCTTTATCAGACACAAAGCTCCACACACTGACTTGTCAACGCACAAACAGCGGGTGGCACAAACCTCAGAGAAGCCTTTCTTGAGCATGTTCAACTGAGTAGTGATTCCTCTGTCCAGTCTCCACCGTAGCATGAAGTGGATGTATTCCTGCACAATAATTATGTATTGCACAATGTGGTGAACAGTACACCCTGGCATATCAAAATGTCCTTAATCTCTATGAAATGTATACCTATGAGTACATGATACTGGTGCACGAAAAGCTCTAAACCAGTTTTTTCTGTTTTTGATATTCTTCCACTTCCTTTCCTTGCTATAGGACAGTTAAAGTTACAGCAAGTACACACGCTGCTGATATACTGACACGAGCCTGACAAAGAGAGCTACGTCCTGGAGTAGGCCTGAATTGAGGTTAATTGGACGGGTTACAAACAAACGGGTAAAAAGAAGTGGGGAAAAGGGAATCAAACTGAGGACCTTACCACTATAGAGGTTACAGTCTAAACTACGCAAAAGTGTAGTTCTGTGCAAGTGTGTAAGAGGCATTGGGACAGTATTTCATGAAATTCATATCAACTATGAAATGGGGTCGGTCCTGATATCCAATCTGCAGGTGTTTGCTAATACAACAGCTGAAGAAGGTATAAAGATGGCTATATATTTTGGTGCCTGGCACACTCAAGAAACTGGGAAAGGAAAGATAATCCAGCACAATCTTGCTCAGCCCACATGGAGAAAGAGGCAAGTGAATACGTAAGGTGCCTAAATAGGTTCAGGCTCAATTTTTTTGTCACGAGAGGCACTCTCTCTTCGGCAGAAGTTCACTGGCCAGAATTTACCTGTTGAAAGCATGGCTGAAAAACGGCAGACCCAAATAGCAAAAAAGCCACATGTGAGATGTCAAAACTATTCAGCAACCTGGCTACAAATCAATACGTGAAAAACTTGGCACAAAAGGGTGTTGTTAGTGTAGGCACCGAGCTAACTGAGGGGCTTGGCCATGCTGCGTAGTCACTGTCACATTCGAACACAGGCTAGCTGTATTTAGAGCATCGCTGGACCATACACACATCCTCAGAGTAACTTCTCTACCTAGTCGAGGTAAGTCAGTGCTGATTATGCTTATTGGCTTTTTTTGCTTGTTTTCACGCAATATCTCTTGAAAGTAGTTGTGTCAGGAAAAACACCCTTTCCAGCTTTTTTAGTTCTGAAGCAGTTGGTATTGTTCACAGGGTGCCTCGGCAGAATAAACGTGGACAAACACACAGACAAAGTACTGTAACCCTCGCTGTACATGCTTTGAAAAGAAAGAGGTGTCCTGGGTATAGTTGACTTGTTTGCCTTGCCCTGCCATTCTACCTCGCTACCAAGTTGTTGAGACATGCATATACTCGGTTTGGAGTTGGGCATCATTGGTGGTTTAATTACCCTGGTCTGCTCCTACATACTGAGTGAGAGTATACTGTGCCACCCCGTGTAAAACAAAGCGCGCAAACTCAGGTATAGGCGCATTATTTCGCGGTGGTTTACTACGTGTTGTCGCACGCTATTACGCACGCCGTAGGCGTGTCATTACGCGGTTAAGCGTAAACAAGCGCGGTCGCACCCTCAAGTATTTACACTCTAGAGCGCTGTTCCGCACAAACATGGGTGTGTCAGTACGCGGTTATGCGCGAACGAGCGTTTGCTGAAAAAACTTTCGCGAAATACCGCGAGCGTAGAGTGTACGGCAGCGATTGCGGGTGGAGCACGCCGTCGCGCGTTACTACACGCGAACGCTAAGTCTGCGTAAATTGGCGTGACTTCCCGCTTGAGTGCGTAAAAGCGCGATATTTCGCAACCGTTGCTGTCTGTGCGCACTTTTACATACATTATTTTACACGGGATTTTGTGTTGTGTTGTAGATTCGAACCCCTACCAGCTGAGTTGCCCTGGTAGCTCAGTTGGTAGAGCGCTCACCTAGACTGCAGTGTCGTGGGTTCGAATCCCATCTAGGGCAGCTCTTCTTCTTTTCTTTGAAAAGAAGGAGCTGCCCTGGGTGTAGTTGACTTGTTTCCCTTGCTCTGCCATTCTACCTTGCTACCAAGTTGTTGAGACATGCATGTCAAGGGTTACTATCTCACCCCTAATCGACATGTTGAGGTTTGGGTGTAAAAATCAGCCATTTAAGGAAGGTTACAGATAACATAAGTCATCACATAGTAGTACCTCTTTGTTCTCCTCGGTGACAGGAATATCCATCCCTCCTTCCTTGAGCTCATGGGTAGACAGTTCACCAAAGGCCTCCTCCTCCACGGTGAAGGTAAGGTCAAGTGGCTCGGGGTCATTCTCTCTGATCCAAACTAGACTGTTATAGAAGGCTGGCTCAAGGCTCTCAAGGTCCTTTAGAGATGGAGCTCTGTCACAAACAAGAATCACAGTACTTTAACATCACTAGCTGATTCTGGAGTACACACAATTAAAACTCTTTATGACCTTTACATTAATGTATTGTGACATAAGGTTAAACATTTATGTGTACTTTGTGTGCAGGCCTTTTGACTTGCTAACCTGTTAGCGAGGGCCTTGTAGATGGTCCTGGTGAAGAAGACATCAAGCAAAAAGCCCTGGACAATGACCAGGCCGATGACTCTCCCTGCAAACCTGAACCAGTCCAGGTTGTTCTGAATGAACATGGAGGTGGAGCTGATCTGGACGGTGTACGTATCATTGGCAGAGTACTCAAAGAGGCCATAGTAGGGATTGAAGACCTCGCGAGACAGGAGAAAAAAGAATTCTCGAGATGGCCCACCATAGTCTAGGCTGTACAGAGAGAGAGAGAGAGAGAATAATCATACGTACTAATTTAAGTGAATACACAAGTATAGGAAGAAATGAGTATTTCGTACTACTATAAAAACAGGTAATGAGACATCAGTGTACATGCTGTCGAGGAGTGATATGAATTCTACATGTTGAAAACCACAAACACTTATACTGTGCTTCCCAATTCACTCTTTTGTTCCTTGTAGTATAATTATACGTACCTCTGCAGTTTACAGAAGTTAAGCGGCTTGCTTGCACATAACCAACACCTACAATGTATAACACTGGCAGCACTTACCCATCCTCTCCCTTAAAGCAGATATTGAGTCTCTTCCTCTGCAGATGTCTCACGTCACTCTTCATGACATGCTCGTAGCTGTCCTCCAACAGGTGGTCTCTCCTGATGTTGAACTTCAGCCTTGAGCTCTGGGCAAAGCCAAGTCGAGCCATCATCACTTTGAAGGTTTGCAGCTTGGTTGAGAATGCCTCTTTTTTGCGCTGGAGGGTGGACGCTGTCAACGGGCCACCAGTTGCACGCTCCTCTGAGGAAAAATATGTGGGAACAGACTCTAAATATACACTGCATATACAAGGATAAAAGGTCTGGCGCAACACAAAGTAGTAATAAACTACCTAAATGATTATTATTGCTTGCATATAAAACAGACATCTTACCACGAACTGGTTGTTGTGGCACTATTTGCACCATGGTATTGATGGCACTGATATCTTCCTCAAAGAGGCTGCAAAGGAACGGCAAAAGGTTGTCATGATCAATAAGAATACAGTGCAACAGGGTTTCACCTGAGAACAAGGGCCAACTCATAGGCAGCCACACTCCCGGATGTCTGTATCCTCTCAAGAGCAGAAGTTCCATTTGCTCGTACATCTTCAATTATCTCTCTGTGGGGAAGACAGACAATACTTATGGACTTCACATCCCTCACTCCTTTCTAACTACTAAGTACATACACTGATGTAGTAAGCATTACTAAGACAACCTGAGTTGAGGGCGGACTCCTCTGTGGTATCTCTGGGAGATCCTCTGATAGATGTCCGGGTTTCTGAAGAATGACACTACTTGTCTTTCATATGCTGTAAGTGGAGGAAAGGTCTGTATAGGCTATTTCTTAAAATAATTCACAGTCACAGCATAGATCACACTACTGCATCACTACATTAACGAATGAAAAGCATTTTTTAAGTGCAACCCTCGGCGCAAAACAATGTTCCTGCAGCGTTATTACTGAAGTGATATTAATTTAATATAGCTGGTGCAGACGCAATTGTAATTGTACAGAATTTGCTTGAACACTTCAAACAATAAAAGTGGCACCAAACAATATTACCAGCAAACGTCAAACCCGCAGCATTTGCACTGCACTCCATTTGTGTAGGAGTGCCTACACTACAAGGCAAAAGCAGTGGACTGGTCAACAACCGCAATCATAATGCCCGTGCAAGCTAATGTGCCGAAGTATCACTAAGTACGGTAGTACTTAGTATATAGGGATCCTGCATCCTGCATTATGCCCATACATTTGAGATTTTCATGTTTCACTTTCAGTTTCAATCAGATCCTACTTTTGATACATGAGAATGATCCGTATGGTCACAAAGTCGAAAAAATGGCTTAAACCGCATAATCGGTACTTAATTTATTTTTTAAAAGTCAGCTTTCAAAATTCTTCTTCTGATTGTTGTTGTTGTTGTCGTTCAGTTTCAATAAGCGTATCTCAAAAACCAGGTAAGATATGGAGATGAAACTTTGCACAAAGATTGGAATCCATGACAGGTCGTGCAAGAGCATTTTTATCTGTCCGTAAACCAAAAATAGCCCCAGGCCATACATTATGATATAGACCGATAAAAGTGTGCTAACTAGGTAGAGGAAATACCCAGAATGATAAAACTTTGTACACACATGCTACCCATCATTACTGTCAAAATATAAACATTACAAGTTTGTAAACAACAACAAACAGCAATTAAAACTTGTATAATGTGTGTGCCTATACCTTGCTTATGATGGGTCCTATAACAATGAAACTTGGTACGCTGATTTACCATGACAAGAGTTCATCAAAACAGAAATTACAAGTTTGTAAACAACAACAAACAGCCTCAGGCAATAAATACTTGTAAATGATGTTTGTGCCTATAACTTGCTTATGATGGGTTCTCTAATAATGAAAGTTGGTACATTGATGAGTGTTCATCGAAACAGAAATTACAAGCTTGTAAACAACAACAAACAGCCTCAGGTAATAAAAACTTGTAAATTGTGTTTGTGCCTCTAACTTGTATGGTTGGTCCTCTAACAATGAAACTTGGTACACTGATGTACCATGATGAGAGTTCATCGAAACAGAAACTACAAGTTTGTAAACAACAACAAACAGCCTCAGGCAATACAAACTTGTAAATGGTGTTTGTGATATAAAATAAAATGTGGTTGGTTCTCTAACAATGAAACTTGGTACACTGATTCATCATGATAAAGAGTTCACCGAAACAGAAAATACAAGGTTGCAAACAACAAACAGCCTCGGGCAAAAAGACTTTTAAGCGGTGTCAGTGCTTATAACTTGCTTATGACAGGTCCTCTCACAATGAAACTTGGTGCACTGATGTAATGTGAATGACGACAAAACATCTGAGGTGATGGTTTTCTTATGGCTTATGCCCAAAAGTATCCCTCTTTATTGCACACCATGCATGTGAATGCAGTAAAAAATGAAAAGGAGACAAGTCAATAAAAAAAATTCTTCGAATTAAAAAAGTGTGGAATATAGGGATGCCATAGGACAAGACAGGGATGACCTAGTGAACATGATGCAGTAGTACAATGGATGATGGCTACATACTTTGAACTGACATCGCTTTTGGTGTAAAATTTCCTCCACACAAGCCCTATATTGTCGCCACCTTACTGTTTGTTTAGTGAAGTGCTAGGACAATGGTGAAAGGATTCTGTATGAGATGGCCAGGAAAGCAGCGTTGTAAAACTGGTTAGTTGAGCAAACTTCGCACAATGCAGTCACAACTGAAAACCGAGTAGATGGTATTACTAATGTGCTTATGAAATGAAAAGCACTAAAGTGCAAACCCTCGGCGAACTGGGGATGCGCGGTACTGCTAATTGATGGGCTGGGCTGCTATTATTATGCGTTTACTCGTGGTCTCCCGCCAGAGAGTCTGACACGGGCTAGCTACAGTAGCAGATAGTATGCGAGAGTCGATACACGCCCTTCGTTTTGACTTCTTGTGCCTTCAAGATACACAGAGCAAGCGGACCCGGTCGAGGTTAAAAAGCCTGTTGAAAATATAAGCGCATGCGCGTTTTCCGCGGCGATAAAAATGGCCGACTACGCATTAGCCGCAGAATGCCGGAAGCGCTCTAGCTTTGCAACGGGGCATTTTCAGAGAAAACCGCCTTTATTTTCTGACCTTCGTCGCCCGTTAAGTAGGTCGTATCCTTTGTGAGACGAACAAACACCCGAGAGGTGAGATTGAGAGTAACAGACAGACACACAGGACAACTACAGTACCCTCGCTGCGCATGCGCGCCGAGGGTAATAAATCATAGCTGTGCATCATACTAGGGAGCACACTCATACTTCGCAACAATAGAGGGCTTGCGTGGAGGAAATTTTACACAAGCAAGCGATGTCAGTTCAAAGTATGTAGCCATCATCCATTGTACTACTGCATCATGTTCACTAGGTTATCCCTGTCTTGTCTCATGGCATCCCTATATTCCACACTTTTTAAATTTTTGTTTACCTGTAACAACTGTAAGCCAAAAATGCATGAATGTCAGCCATAAAAAAGGAGGTAAACAAAAACGCGCTACTTTTCAGGTAAGGGAATTTTTTTAATTAACTTTCCTGATCATACAATACTGAATAAGCGTGTCATAGCGCGAGATGTGAGATGCGAGATTGAGAAGAGCGGACAGGCAGACAGACAGATTTACGAACCAAGTATATACCGGAACCCTATGGTACATGCACGCTGAGGGTAAATTATAGCAGAGTTCGGGTTTACAGCACCAGGAATATTATGCAATTAATTATAGTCTATTACTTGCGCAGTTCAATTACCAGTTTTAAAAACAACAGCATTAAAATATACACTTCTACTCAATGATGTATGCAGGTATAAAATCTGGCTCACTCATCTCCACCTCCTGAGGAGGTTGGGGGCTGGTAACTGAGACAGAGGGAGGTAAGGAGGTAGAGGGAGGAGGAGGAGGAGCACTGCTACTCATGACTGTTGTGTGGTGGGCTCTAATTGGGGCCTGCAAACAAATCAGTGATACACAAATTCACATCCCATGAGTATAATAATATTCCTTCCTCTTGATTTAAAGGGAATGTGTGTAAGGACTAAAATAAAAAAATTAATTGCATTCTTGCACTTGGCCCTATTTTTTTGTTTTACAAGTAAATTAAAAATCAAAAGAGGCATATAGGGATGGTATAAAAAACGGAGAGAAGATAGGGATAGGATACATGAAGCATGGTTAGCGAACATAATTGAGCACGCTGACACCCCCAACCCCATCACTCAATCCCTATATTGTTGCCTGGTATATATGCTATACTCTTAAAGGTAATGTGGCAGTATATATGGACTAAAATTAGGAATTTTGCTCTCAGTTGCATTCTTTTACTGTGCTTTGTTCTTATCTTTAGTAACATTTAGCCCTTTTATACTGCCACATTCCCTCCATTTGGAGGTGTTGGCTACTCAGAAGCATGACTTTTTAAAGCTATAATGTAATAATTATTGTGAATATTTAATATTTCACCTAGGCAACAATGTAGGGATTGCGTGATGGGATCGGGGGTGTCAGCGTGCTCAAATATGTTCGTTAACCATGCTTCATGTATCCTTTCCTTATCTTGTCTCCCTTCTTTTTATACCATCCCTATATGCATCTTTTTTAAATTCGCTGGATTTTTATATTACTTGTCTCCACTCATCTTTACAAGTAAATTAAAAATCCTGCGAATTTAATAAAGAGGCATATAGGGATGGCATAAAAAGAAAGGGAGACAAGATAGGGATGGGATACATGAAGCATGGTTAGTGAACATATTTGAGCACGCTGACACCCCGACCCCATCACACAATCCCTATATTATTGTTGCCTGGTGTGCTAGGGAATATGGCATGATACAAGGGCTAAAGGTTACTAAAAGCAAGCATTCTTTCACCGTGCCCCTGTTGTTTTTAGTATAATATCTGCTTTTTTATACTGCCACAATGGGATCGTGGGTGTCAGCGTGCTCAAATATGTTCGTTGCACGTAAAAAAGTTTCATGTCCATCCGTGCTACCATTAGCAAGTTTGAGGAGTAAAGAAGTAAGTTGAAGAAAGCGCCTGAGGCTTCAAACAATATGTGGTTGTCATGGAAACGATGTAATATGTATGCGTACGAAGTTTCATCTTCATGCGTGCTACTGTTAGCAAGTTTGAGGAGTGAAGAAGTAATTATGCCTGAGGCTCAAACAATGTGTTCGTCATGGAAACAATGTACTACGCCTGCATACCAAGTTTCATCTCCATGTCGTCAACAAGTTCGAGGAGTGAAGAAGTATTTGAAGAAAATTGCCTGAGGCTATTTGTTGTTGTTTACAAACATGTAGGTAAACATGTAGTCGTCATGGAAATGATGTTACACGCATGTGTACCAAGTTTTATGTTAACCATTGACAAGTTAGAGGAGTGAAGAAGTAACTTTAAAGAAAATTGCCTGTGGCTATTTGTTGTTGTTTACAAACATGTATTGTTGTGTTTTCTATAGCGGTCACTGAATACATTGTGTATACTTTCATTCGCATAGCTCTTAGCATTTGTGAGTTGCACTAACACATGTGTCCCCATTATAATGTATTTGTCGTTGTTTACAAACAGAAAAGTATGGCATTGCACAAGTGGTTATCGATAAGTACATTCCTACAAAATTTCATCATGTCTTCATCTGTTTTTACTTAGTGGTCTGTAGTAACATTTCTAAATTTAGCCCTTATGTACTGGCACATTCACTATAAGTGCTGCTCCAGTGCTGGCTTTAGCCCAATTGGACACTGACATGCAGCATAAACATTAGTCAGTTTTGTGCGCTCTTCTTTTTAAAAAGCAGTGACTGTGGCATGTTAATTATGGGTGCGGTCAAAATCTTTTAGCTTGTCTCAGAAGTCACTCCATGAAATTTGGCAACTACAAAGATGATCCCCAGTAGCTACACTGCTGCTAAAGTTTGAAAGCATCAAATTATCAAGAGAATGTGTACAAAATCCTCGAAGTCGGGTCAAAATGCAGCTGTGACTTGCATCTATACTCTAGCTAAGTATGAGCATTGCCCAGATTACTTCAGCACACAAACAAACGGTACTTTATTGCCTTGAATGGAAGAATAGCTTATTTATGTGTGTACGTACCTCCTCTCCAAACTGGAGCTGCTCAGGCTGCTGGGATGGGTGAGACGAGGGGGGAGTGGTGTACGTGAATTCATGGTCAGGCAGTGGGAGACGAGGGTCAATGAATGATGTCAAACAGTGAGTGTGGTCAATGTAGAACACCTATAGTAAAGGAGCATTTCATTTGGCCCTAACCAAAATCCCCACAACCACTTAAACAACATACTGTACCTTTCCTTCTCTGTTTAGTTTCTTCTCCCAGTCTTGGGGCAGGTCCGCTCTTATGTCAGTAAACCTATTGAGGGCTGACACCAGCTGCCTACTGTGCTGGTACCTGCCATAGACCATTGGCACAATTATAATGTAACCGAGGGAATGTACTACGGCTTGTATACACATGTATTGTACACGTACAGTAAATAATAGCAAGGTGATTACAAGGATGGAATGTGTCGTCGGCTCACTTCGAAAATAGGTTGTTGTTGGTCCGTATTCTCTGCACGAGTTCCATAAGTCCTCTGTTGGCCAGAAACATCTCACCAGCGTCCTGCATAATCATAGTAGAGGAAGAAACATAATTTATGCTAGAACCAGAATTACGTAAAACATCGTGGTGTGTGAGGTTCCCGTCACATAGAAAAATCCCACATTGAGACAACTACAGGTTGGCCTGCTACACTTATAAATTTCAGTGAACTGAACTATGAGGATACACCACACCTACACACTACTTCATGCAACCCTTTGCCTTTCTTTCGTGTACATGTCACAGGGCGAGAAAGAATGTGCAACAAATCCATGTACACAAGTTTTGGTCTACCTAAAGCATGGGTACAGCAATGAGAGGTGGTCAATTGCTAATAGACAATGTATCCTAGTCAAAAAGTGTTTGTACAGACGTAATTTCATAAAACACTCAGAGAAAGGACAGTAGAGAGAGCTAACCCCAGCCTTGCTGAGGAAGGTGTAGAGGTCTCTGCGGGTGATAAACCGTAAGGCATGGGAGGAGAGCAGTTCCTCTGGGAGAGGCAAGGCTGAGGTGGGTGTGGCAGGCTGTTCCTTCACCTCCTCCTCCTCCCTCTCTTCTGGAGTAGGAGATGTAACCTGCACATGTCGTTGGGCTGGCACTGTATGAGGTAGGGACAGAGCAATTTCATATAACATGGGCACATGCTCATTATTAACCCTCGCTAATAGCCCTTTTCACGTAAAGGACTGAGGAATTCATTAGCTCATAATTGAACGTGACGCTAAGCTCTGTGAAGGCTGGGAACCTGTCTATATTGCTATGGCTAGGGAGATACGCGCTCGGAAAGACGGTGACTATAACGTCGGGATCCTGAGCCACTGGTAAGAGTTGCTAGCCATAAACACAAAGAATAGTAATATAGACAGGTTCCCAGCCTTCACAGGGCTTATCTACGGTAAGTCAGGTACAGAAACGGCCACTTCACTAGCAGTATAGACCTTAGCAACTCTTATACCCACCGTCTTTCCGAGTGCGTATCTCCCAAGTCGTACAACCCTAGCACACGCAATATGGACCATTCAATAGCACAAGTTTCAAAGTTTTTTTTGAATACCGTATAAATAGAACATCACGTACAGTAAGCTAACTACGGCGCTTGGAAAAGTGACATCATCTCCATAGACCTGCATAGAAAACGTGAACAAAATGGCGGAGGAATGTACCCCGGGAGTTGCGTCATGTTCAATTATGAGCTAATGAATTCTTCAGTCCTTTACGTGAAAAGGGCTATTGGTTCGTGTGTGTGTGTGTGTGTCTGTTACCAAGTTTGCTGCCACCACATGAAACAAACTGGCCAAAAAACGACACCAACGGGTTCAGCGCTACACTGGCTTCATTTTATAAATGGCGAATTTCATATATAAAAGTGCTGCGTCATAAATACATTGTAGTACGTACAACCACAGAAGCAATGTCAACAGCTAGTTAGTTTATGTTGGCCTGACCTTCATTTGTCTCATCATCTGTGTCTCGATCAGTGCCCCTTCGTCTGTGGCGGGACCTAACAGTAGTGGCCCTCACTTTGTGTCTTGCTCTAGAGGCTGCATTTCTGTCTGAGTTGGACATGCCTGACCAGGTGACAGAATGAACAGAAGATAGGGAGGGAGAGAGGGAGAGTAAGATTTAATACATTGAAAAAAGGACAGCAGAGAGTTATGATTTAAGAAGAGAGAAATAGGATATAAAGCAACAAAAACCTCGCAAACACCCTTATTTACACAAAGTGTACACATCTGGGAAATGATGTTTGTATGCATCAGCGCAATTACAGTGACCATATTGTATCTCAGCCCACCACAGACAGTGATGAATCACCCATAAGTATGGCGCTAGTAGATCAGGGAACTCTGTGAACTATTGTAGCACTAACCACTAGCTCTCATGATGGAGGCATGTCGAGATGGAGCAGGAGCCGAGGCTGCTGCAGCAAAGACTTCATCTCCGCCTCCTCCTCCCTCTCTCCTGCCTTCTTCCTCTTCCCCTCTCCCCACCTCTCCATTAGCCACCACCTCATCCTCTCCACCACCAGACACCTGCACCTCCGCACTGGAGAAACACACACATGGCAAGTCAACCTCACATTAGCCACCACCACAAAGTATACAGTTACACTGTCATGTGAATAATGAACATTATGGACTAAAATATGAACACACAAGCCATACTGGTGAATATTCAGTCACCACTACAGGTACGTGCAAAGCACAAGGCAATAAACTGTACATTCCCCAGTCAACTATCCTCACCTCAACACTGATCTTGTTTGTTGAGTGTCCTCTGTTCCTCTCTCTCCCTCACCTTCCTCACTGGTCTCAGCCACACTTCCACCCAGAGTGGCATCACTACTGCGACTTCCTCCACTGCTCCTCCCAATTGACCCCTCCCTGCTCCCACTCCTCTCCCTCCTCTCCCTCTCCACCACCTCCCCAGCCTCCGTCACCGACGGAGGGGGAGAACCCTCCCACCCCGGTGAAACTGGCAAGATATCGTCATCGGCAGAGGAGTCTGATCTCGACTGCGACACTGACCTGTAGCTACGCTGCCAGAAACGCCAGCGACTAGACTTCCTCTTAGAGTGGGATGTCCCAGATTGGGAACGAGGTGACTGAGAATTGGTCTGGGATATAGACTCAGCTTCAGCCCGTGTGAGAGAGAGGGAGAGGTCGAGAGGGGTGGAGGGAGAGGAGGGGATGGTGGACAGAATTGGCTGGGCAAAACGGTTTGGACGCTGGCCTCTGAAGCTGCGTTGCAAACTCAGGTACCTGTACAGACACACACAGTATTAAGGTGCTAACAAATGTAATGAAACCCATCAGACTTTAGACACACAAATGCTCTATAGTACGTCTTAGTGCACTATAATGGTGTGTAATGTAGTGCCTTCTTTCCAGCATTTCCATTCCTCTGGAGATGTCAGTAGCTTGAGTCAGGCCTGCTTCATAGGCCACAGTGTGGGTGTCATGGTCCATGAAGTATGTCCTCCCATGAACATCCACATGAGTTTCTACTGCATGCGAAGAGAGAGTGGGAGAGACAGGTGTTTGAGAGAGAGTGCGAGAGAGAAAGACTTATGTATTACGTATATCACCAAAATGATTGAGATACTCTGCATCTTCTACGTTTATGTGGTGCCCTGTGTTTAGTTTCAGTGCCACAAACATGCACCTTTTCCCAAAACAGTGCTACGGAGGAATTTTCTGTTATCGTTTTAAAAAACTACAGCTGAACCTACGGCCCATACAAGAAGTGTATAGATAGTAAGCTGCACTCCCAGAATGTGGTCACAAATGTGAGGTCCACAACAAATAACCCTGAATGAGGAAACTGACACAATTACAGTACGGGAGGCAATCCAACGGCTAGTGCATGCTAAGCCTTCCTGTCTACACAGGTATATACATACACAAGTATGGATCTTGACGTCTGACTGGAGCCATAAAAAGATTTGTACATAATTGTACATGCACAAAAAGTATCATGTGATGATCAGAAGTTCTGTCCTCTATGGTACATGCTCTCAACTTAAGCTTTACATGATGCCTAGATGTTGTAGTAAAGATGCTAGTACAAATTGCATACTGCGGAGGAGGAACAGCCACAAAACAACACGACACTACTACTGAGGACAAGGTATAAATGCCTTCACACTATGATCAATCCATACACAGACAATAATATGCCACTGTATATGGTATCACGTACACATACATGCAGTCTGACCAATATATACATAGCTTGTGAGTAATGCTTGCCCCACGAAACGATAGTCATAACATTAAGACAGCTCTTATCCCCATAGAGATGGGAGATGGTTGAACCTTTGACAGTGGACTAAATTTCAACAGTCATAGCATAACCATGCTCACACTACATCCCATTTGAGGTAAACTAAGGGAACCTATAACATGCATACTTAAACAGTTGAGCCCATCGCTTTGCAATGTTAGACAACAAAGTGGTACATTTGGGATCTAAGAGGCATACAATATTACAATTGAACATTTCCCTACCTCTCCTGCTTTCCTGGTTCTGCAGCATGTCCCTCATTTCCGTTTGCTCTCTCCTGACCCCTACACTACTCTCTGACCTCTGAACCCCCTCTCTATTCTGTTTTCGCTGCGGTCGTCTCCTCCGAGTGGAGTACCTCCTCCGACTGTGGGACAAGGTCCTACGCAGGTATTCGTACTGTTCGCTTAGGTCGGGGTCGGGGGAGAGGGGTTGGAGTATGGGGAGATTGGTCTGGGAGTCCCGGGGTCGTCGTACCCCGGAGTCAAGGTTGGAACTGTCGAGGTTTGACTCCAGAAGTGGGTCATCAGAGTCCTCTGACTCCATCATGGAGGATCTCAGTCGGTGATCTGGGGTGTCAACAGTGGCAGAGCTGACGACAGTGGTGATGGGGGGAGGCGGAGAGGTGACCACTGGAGCAGGCTCTGGTCCAGTGTGTGGAACTTCAGGCGCTGTCCATTGAAGACTCTTACTCTCCACACCTCCGTCTTCACCGTCATTGACTTCGCCCTCTATATTTCTCACCCCATCTCCCTCTTCACCTCCACTTTCCGCCCTATCCTCATCACAGATCACATTCTCGCAGCCCACAACCACCCCCAACCCACCACCATCACCAACCACAGTCCCCTCCTCCAGCATCTCCACTTCCTCTCTTTCCACCTCCACATCTTCTCCATCATCCCCCTCCTCCGCGGCTTCACCATTTACCTCCTCCTTACTCCTATCCTCCTCCCCACCTTCCACACCCCTCCTACCATCACCAGTTTCACTGTGCCCCACAAGATTCACCACACATGCCGATCCATGCTCAGTCTCCATTCTATCCGCCACGACAGTGTCACTAAGCTCTTCATTTTCTGTTGTAAGATGTGCCAGTGCGACAACAGGGAGGGGTTCAGGGTTATTAATGTTTGTTTGGTCATCACATGTTGTTAAATTCTTAAGTTCCATAGTACTAGATTCCGTAGTAGACCCTTGATGGTCATCAGCAGTGTTATTCATAGGATGCTGGCTAGAAACTGATTGGGGAACAGGAGTACCACCTGGAGATGAAAGTTCACTCTCAGCACTGCTCTCTAGCAGACTGTAATGGGAAGGCTCCTGCTCGTTAGACCCCTCTTCTGACCACACACTGCTGCCATCACCTGAAGCACTGGAGCATGTCTGAGGTAGTTCTCCATTCTCACTGACTTCTTCATGAGCTTTTCCTCCTATCAACCAACTCTCTGACCCACTGTCTTCCCCATCCTCTTGGCTGCTCTCACCCCTTCCATTAGCAATGCCAATGACAGGGGTCTCCTCCCTGGAATCTCGTGAGTGGCCAAGGGTGTAATTGTGAAACACCTCAAAATCCCCGTGTATTCCAACACCAGTGTCGGCTATATCACCACTTCTGTGACTATTAGATACCAATGTCTTATCCAGTACCAATCCTGTAGAGTCTAGATCTCGATCATTCAGGACAGTAGCACTGTTATCAGGTGAGGCTGGGGAAACTAGGGGAAGTAGTATACCTTCCGCTGTAGTAGTAGTAGTGGGGTGTAACTCAGTGAGAGAAGCCATGATAGTTAGGTCCTTGGGGGGTTTTCAGTGATTACCTATGTACCTAAGGGAAGAAGAGAATACGAAGAGCTTATTTGAGGGGGAGACAATAACACTTTAAACACAAGTTGGTAGATCCAGCCTCCAAAATTGGTCTATATACATTGTACGTCATGGCACCTCCGTGCTTTCACTATAGTCTATCAATGGCAGTGCAGTGTTGTGAATGACGATGTCTGGTCTCTGGTCCACATGGAGGCCTCTGTTTACCAACAGCATAACTGTCTCTATACACTCTTCCTTTTGGGGCACAGTAGTCATAAATCCCCAGGTATATATATACCTTGGACTATTATGCATTGCGTTACGCACTCCATATAGTACATACATTCTCTACACCTCATCCTGTCCCCAATGGTGATGAACCTACTGTAATTACTCTAATTAAAAATCTTGTTAGTTAATTTCTCGCTGATCATGAGGGAATCCAAAATTTAAAAAAATTACTCCCTAATCATCAGGCATATTTACCGCTGTTACCTGCGAGTCGTAATACTGAGTCGCCGCATATGGCTAAACTCATCACCGAACAATAGGGACATGTGATGCCTATTGTGAATGTATAGTTCTAAGGGAACCGTTACAAGTCCTCCCTCCCTCCCTGGGCTATGGACACAATAAGATGGACATGTAGCTATAGCTACATCCTGTTGTCAACAGAAGAAAAGTATATACACCACAACACAACCACTTCGTCCACACACATTAACGGAGCAGGATCGAGAACTCTAGCATCCCCACGGTCCAGTAATAAACTAGAACACACTTTCACCATTTCAACACCAACCGCACTTCACCCGAAATTGCTACTGCTACGCGTTATCGTCGTTACTGCAACAGCATAAGCCAGCCGGTTGCTACTCTCGAACAACTCAAACACACGGAACTCACCACTCTGGCCTCCAGCACAGGATGACACTCGCAGCAACCTCACACAGCTCGGTAAGAATACACAACAAACACGATCCAACGTACAGTGATTGCGACAGCACCCACTAAACGCCTCTCTACAGCTAGCTCAGGGCTAGGCTAAACGCGCTAAACGCTTACGCACGCACACACAAAACTGACATCATTGCATACCAAAGATATTATACACGTTATTGGCAATAATCAGGCGGTTAGGCAACAGTATAAAGTTTCTCAACGCCAAAAACATCTTCCTCCTGTTTCCTTTCCTCTCTTTCCTCCTTCCGCTCCTGCACATTCTCTTCGTTAGAAGATGTGTCGGCTGAGTCAGCACTGTCTCTATGACGCGACCACTTGCTCGGCTGAGCCATGTCTCTTCTGCTCAACCTCTGCCTCCTCTCCCCTCTCTTACTACTATTACTACTGCTGATGCTGCTGTGAGAGGAGGAACGGTGCCTACGACGACTTTCCCGTTCCCTGGAGTGCCTCTCCCTCCTCCCTCTTTTGTCAGATGAAGATCTTTTGCCATGACTTCTTCCGCTCCGCCATCTTCCTTCAGTGTCACTCCTGGACACTGACCTTTCGTCCCTCTCCTTCCCCACCTCTGGTTTTCTCCCATCCCTACTTTGTTCTCGTTCCCAGCTTTCTCTCTCCTTTTCCCTTTTCTGCTCCTCCTCCCTCCTCCTAGTCCTCTCTATCTTCTCCTCAACATCTTCATCCTCTTTCTTTCCTTCCACCCTCCCTCCCTCCCTTATCGACTTCTCTTCTTTCCTCTCCCAGCTGTCCCTCTCCCCCCTCTCCCTCTCCCTATCTCGCCTCTCCCTCCCCCCTCCTCTCCCCTCTCCTATCCCTCCCGTCCCTCTGCCTCTCCCTCCTCTCCCTGTCACACTGTCTCTCCTCCATCCGGTACCGAGGTGATCTCTCTCTGCTCCTCGACAACCTCCTCTCCCTAAACATTGCATTAATGATACATCAAAACCATGCTTGCTCTTTAGGATAATAAACCAGCACATACCTTGGTCTGTCAGACATCCAGTCACTGTTCTTTCCTGCTGTACCATGGCGGGGAGGTGTTCGGTACCTCTGCACATGCATATAAATACAAATAGGCATGCCAACACAAGATTGAAATTCAGTTTGCAATTTCAAATAGCAGTGGATTTATTTTGCGCAGAGAATATATTTTGCACCTTTGCACTTGAGTCCTGTATCCCAAAAGCCAGTACAATAGGGAAGCTCAGCTGTTTGCACACAAACAAGCCAACTGTCACAGTCATTTAACTCACATTAAGCACAATTATACCTCACACTTGCCAACTCTCCAGCAAATTGAATGCAACCACTTTAGTATCAGAGGAGGCAGGCCACATTCTCATTTAACATACTCATGTGATTGCCTTTAGAGGAGTGCACCAATTAGCTTCTGTGCTCAGTTATATACGTAGGTCAACACCCGCTTGTTGGTCTCAGCTTTGTCTCTAATGGTATCTGGTCTGCTACGAAACAAGGTACAGGTATGCTTATCACCCCCTGACTTAGCGTAGAGACCCTCTAATGTGCTAGGGAGCTGAATACCTGTCACAGAGATTACTTTTCCAGGGGCGCTCACATAGTATCCAATACCAAGTGTCAGGTATAATTGTGCTTAATGTGCTAAAGTTAAATGACTGAGACAGTTGTGTGCAAACAGCTATTGTTGGGATACAGGACTCAAGTGCAAAGGACGCTCCCCAGCCCACGTCACAATCCCTAGCAAGTTACAGCTACTTTTACAGATGTATATACCCACCAGGCAACAATAAAACTCGCAGGATTTTTTTAATTTACTTGACAATATTTGCTGCCTAAAGCAATATCTACATGATAGGTGAAAACGGTTTCCCACATTACCCCTAGGCCCTCCTTCCACACATATAGAAAATACCATGTGATGCCAATGTTTGTGCATGACCATCAAGCCCCTGGCAGTTAGGCTGTTGGAAGGCCTGGTATAGGACACATTCAACCAGGGTTACGGGTTCACCGATAGATGTTGTTAAAGAGTACTTGCAACCTGGGACTTCAAAAGTGTTTGTTTCAGACTTGGCATGGCTTTTGCATCACGATATCAGCTTGCTGTACTGCTGCTGCGTTCCAACCTTGTTAACCCTGGGCGCGCATGCGTAGCGAGGGTACTGTAGTTGGGTCTGTCTGTCCGTGTGTCTGTTACTCTCAATCTCACTTCTCGAATGTCTGTTCGTCTCACAAACGATACGACCTACTTAACGGGCAATGAAGGTCAGAACTTTCGAACGGTTTTCTCTGAAAATGCTCCGTTGCAAAGCTAGAGCGCTTCCAGCATTGTATGGCTATGCCGGTAGTCGCCATTTTATCGCTGGCGGATAATGCGCATGCGCTTATATTTAGCACAGGCTTACCTCGCCCGGGTCCGCTTGCTCTGTCTATCTTGAAGGCACAAGAAGTCACAACGAATGGCATGTATCGACTCTCGCGTGCTATCTACTACTGTAGCTAGCCCGTGTCAGACTCTCTGCGAGCTACTCACGGGAGACCCCGAGTAAGCGCATACTATACTAATAGCCCAGCCCATCAATTTTAGGGGTACCGCACATGCGCAGTTCGCCGAGGGTTTGCACTTTAGTGCTTTTCATTGGGTCTGTCTGTGTGTCTGTCTGTCTGTTACTCTCAATCTCACTTCTCGGGTGTTTGTTCGTCTCACAAAGGATACGACCTACTTAACGGGTAATGAAGGTCAGAAATTTCGAACGGTTTTCTCTGAAACTGCTCCATTGCAAAGCTAGAGCCCGAAAAAGCCAATATGCAAATACACAATGGACGGGAAGGCTTACCAGTCTGATCGATCTGCGTGCTCTGCGTACTTCAGAGGCACCAGAAGATGCAACGCAGGGCGTGTATCGCCTCTCGCATGCTATCTAGTAGTGTAGTTAGCCCGCGTCAGACTCTGCGCGAGCTGGCAAGAGACCACGAGTAACAGCTAAAACTAAACCCTGCCCATCAATTAGTGGTACGGCGTATGCGTTTACTTACGCGTGCGCATCACAGTGCGCCGAGGGTTTGCACTTCAGTGCTAGTCTGTACTAGGCCTATGTCACAGAGACACACATCTACACTACAGAGACTGGGGGTTTTGCACACTGTGCTCCAGGTGTGAGGGAGTAGGATATGAGATCTTGCAAGCTGAAAACCTGCACAAGGTTTTGCTGCTGCCTAAAGAGGTGTGTGGTTATCTAGAGTTACGGAAAGCGCAGAGAGAGAGGGCCTGCTACCTGTTAGCATCCTGCTGTGAGGTATATACATAAGGCAAGAGATGGCACGTGACTAAACGCTATACCATATGGAACCCAAATATACAGTATATACTGTACTCACCATTATACCTCTTCCTTTGAGCTTCCGACCAGATTCAGAGACCTGCAATGCATTGGAGTTGAAGATTAAAATATGTACATGCTGGTATATATGCTATGAACTATAATTTCATGCTACATGCTAGTAACACAGGCTCAAAACATATTGGCAATCCTGCCACCAGGCAATTATCAGTCCTGCTGCTACGCAGTCACAGCAAAAAGTAGGTTCTCACTTTTACTCCCCTCTTTCCCTCCGACCCGAGCAGGTTGGATTGCATATGGACTAGGACTCATACCGTATATATATAGTCCTAGTTGACCATATATAGTCCTAGTTGACCATATATAGTCCTAGTTGACCATGCCTAGAACGTTATGGTCTCTTAGACCGTTTCCAACCTACCAGGGAAAAGTGTCTGGTAACAACACTAATTTTACCTCCTAACACCTTCAAAGTTTACTTTCACACTCCAACACTGGAGTAGCAGTTTATTATTTGTACATGTATAAACTAGATGGGCCTTCCCTTCGGCTTAGGGAGGGCAATAAACAAATCTGAGTGTGCTGGAAGCTAAATGTATGTAGACTGAACTCTATACATGTCTTTGGTATACATTTTGACAATTGTATGTGTGTGTGTGTCACTTCCACTTTTTATGGGCAACAGTGGTATGCTATTTTGCAGTAGAAAAACATCCTTCAAAAGTTAACACTGATTTTAGTGCTAAAGTTTCGCTGCGGTGAGTTCTTTGAGAGCGTTTTGGGGTGCAGAAGAACGTGAATGGTCAACAGACAAAACTGTAGAACGCATAAGCTGATTAACAGTTCAACAAATGCTGTTCAACGGTTGAATTTTTACTTGTATTGTACATCACGCTGGTAAGCCGTAGAACAAAGGGTAGTCTATGTTTTAGCACTTCCCCATTCTAGTACCCCATGATTGCTTTCAGTTGAGTTCAGTCAACCTTCCCAGATGACCTTGGCTCTTCACTACGCGTCTAAAATCTGCCAACCCCGTAACCAGGCACAAAATGAGCACAAATTAAAAAAAGGAAAGATTTTATAACTTACCGTTTTGGTCCTGTCCTCCAGTTTCACTGGAGGGAATGACCTGCAGTACAACACAAGTAGACATTAAACTTTTGCTCTGACAGGTCAACAGAGGTCTAACATATAGTTAAGACAAAAATTATAGGGAAATTTATGACTGAGACAAACCATCATAGGCATGCATGTTGAGTACAATCTTTAAAAGGACCAGATGAGACCGACTTCATGAAATCTCTTTGGAGCTTGGTTGACCCTGTTGGTTCGAGACTACACCCCAATAACTTGAACGTACTTTATGCTTTTAAGTACGGTTGGGTTCCTTGTGTAGTTCCGCGTTTAGCAATAAATAAGCCTGGAAACCCCCGAGTAAGCCCTTTCCACAGATCTCTATGGCATATGTTGAGAAGTACAGTTTCAACCGTACAACAGACACTTCCACACAATGCATACAGAGTGAAGGCTGTCTACCATGTATAGCAGGAAAATATACAATCAACAACTATCCGGACTTACATGTCTGCAGTCCATGAATACATTATGCAGACTTGGCATAAAAAGACATGTCTAGACTAGTTTTTCAAGTCACTTATCTGAAAAGACAGCGCCTCCAAAACATGGCTATACAGTCGTGTTTGTACCTTAACTCTACCAACATTTTGTCAGGGCAAACCCCCAGTTCACATGTGCATTGCGCAAGCACAATGAGCACTCAAGAAACCGCGCGAGAAAGCATGAATCGAAAAATGGCCTAGCCCATCAATTACAGACCGGTGCACGTGTAAAATGTGTTGCAATACATTTGACGCACGTTTCTAGTGAGCCGAAGGTTTGCAATTTTCATTAAGGGGAAGGAATGCATTCACATTGAAACATTTGGTTGTTAAATAATCTCCATATACGGGACATTTGTAGCATGATAGTAACTCTTGACTGGCTAGCATATGCTCAACTGGAACTTTGCCATTCATTCAGTTGCCATTCTTCAAATCGGAGAAGTTTTTTAAGGTCCAGCAAGGTCACGATAGTAACTCTTGACTGGCAAAACGATAGTAACTCTTGACTGGCAAGCGTAATGGAAGCTTTTGCCATTCATTCTGCTGCCATTTTTTAATTGGAGAAATAAACAAACTTTTTGAGGGTCTAGCTAAGGTCACATGACTTCACCATCATCTAATAGTCACCACATTACCATACCAGTATACAGGGTCCATTCGTCAAATATCAATGAGCAGGTTCTTACAAATGCATTGAGTCAAGGTTTGTGTAGATCTGCTGAACATAAAAATAGGCTCAAATGCGGTGTTCTCATTTGCAGGGT